ATAGGCCAGTGGAAAGCAACTGTAAGGATTTAAGAAATTTCTCAGTTTGAGTTACACCCGTCTTGCTTGTAGTCAATCCTTACCACTTTGCTAGACTTGCTTATGTATTTTGATGGATGAGAAAACAACAGTGTTTGTGTGTGTTAAGAGAAATTATAAATTTAAGTATTAATATTTCTATCTTTTTGTCTGTTGGGAGCATATTAACTTTTCCTTTGAAATCCTGTGAAGTATTTCAAAATTTAATGCTGTTTGCCCAAGGAGAGAAAAGGAAGAGAAAGCAATGTTTTTTGGATAATGAAAGCAAAAGATGTATAATATATCCTTTTTCTTCTAAATTTATCTTTGACTCCATAGCTTTAACTTTATTGATTCTATAGTAGCATTTCATTGGAAATGTAATTCCACTGAAGTGGAATTGTCTAGTATGTCTACAGAAATGAGACAAATATGATCTTAGTGTGGAGCTTTTGCTTGCATTGTTCTTACACTGGAACGGTCATGGTCAGTAGTACTGTGGAACATCACGCGGTTTGCCTTCTGTCAAGGGAATAAGGGCAAACAGTTGAAACATGAGGAACTACATGCTCAAGTGCTGGAGATGCAAGGAAAAGAGTATTTAGGGCATGTGTTTCATTTAGGCAAGAAAGGGAGAGAATGCAGGACTATATCGGGGGTGGTTTTTTGGTTTGGGTTTTTTTTTTGGTGGTTTTGCTTTCAGAATTAAAATGGTAACAGTTCTCAAACTCTAAGCACAATAATTTTGCAAATGGCTTTATCGGTTGAAAATTTTATGTTTTTATGCCAGCACAATTATATTTGAAGAGGGTAAGCCACAAGTAATATCATGTAAGTATTAAATAAAGTAGTTGTTAAAAAAATATTATTTCTACTAGGTCAGAACAAACTGGTAGCTGGTGATACAAAATATTTAACACCTTATATTTTGTAAGCTCACTGCAGAGACTAGTGTTAATGTGACGTAAAACCAGATTTGCTGTTGCGTTGGCCATTGTGATTGTTTAAATACCTTTTAACTGAGTGTGAAGAAGCGGTTTTTATTTATGTGTCATAGCCCTGCCAAGCAAACTGTTAACTACGGTTTTAATTTCTCTGGCTTGTGGTATTTAACAAGAACAAAACTCAGATTTAGGATTCATTCCCTTAATCTTCAGTCTGACTTGAAATGGTGTATTTTGGTTGAGAATATATAACTTAGGAAAATAGGTCACGCTCATAGTTGTGAATAGGGCAAACTCATTTCTTGGTACCTAAGCTTTCTAGAGTAAAAAGTGTTGCTTTTTCTGTCCTAGTATGGTAAATTAAGCAAGGCATAAGAGAAACTATATGGAAGGGGAGAGCATAGAGCAGAAAAGTTACAGAGGCCGGGGTCACATGGGTGAATGTCTAATATGGTTCAAAAAGAGGTTCTTTTTTCTTTCCTTTTAGCAGCTAGATGAATGTCTTTGGATTCATGGCAGAAGTGAGACTGACTAGAGTAAGATTTAACTGAGGGGATGCTTTTTTCCTTTTTAAATACGGGAAAAAATTGTTCTGAGGTCAGATCTTATCTTCAATAGTAAGATACTGTATTTAACTGACAGACTGAAAACCACTGATGATAGAGAAGCACTGCTCTTTTCTGACTGTTTACATTGAAGTGGAAACACTTTTGTTCTGAACTTTTTTGTCTTTATTGTCACCCAGCCTGTGTGAGGTTTGATTGTAGCAGAATAAATTAGGGTTTACATTTGGTTAAAAAACTTATGGTGTTGTGGGAAGGAGAGTGTTAATGATTCATTAAATGGTATGTTTCTGGTTTAGTTAGAAAATAAGGACAACAGCATGATTTTTTAGGTTCCATGGGGTTGTAAAATGTTTTGAGTATGGTCTCAGCACTAGTGTTTTGTGATTGTATGATTAACAGGCACTGAAATAATAGTTTTATTTATTTTGAAGCCTGGAGAACCCTTCAGTCATGTACTGTGTAGCCTTTTGGAAAATGACCGTAGTACAGAGAAAATTAATCTTGTGATACATGTTGGCTTTAATACTGATATATTGGGTCTCAAAATGACTTCTACTGAAGGGACTTAGGAGTTTGGATTTGAGGCATGTTTACCCTGGGCAAGTAGAAGCAATTCTAGCAATAGTAATAGTAACAGAAAATAAAATACCACAATGTTAATTTTGAGTCTGGATTCTGTCCCTTGTACTGAATAGTTCTTTGATGTCAGTAGGTCATGAAAACTTTTTAAACCAAAATATCTGCATAGCTGGTCACTCACTGTGGATAAGGAGTGAGATGCCACTAGTACTCAGTGGAAGAAGGGGTGTGACAGAAGGTAGTAAAGAAGAACTGTGAGCATGTGAGAGAGGTAGTAGATCGGTTTGGCCAGCTGCAGCTGTGGTGTGCTTGACCTCAGTGTGGCCACACATCACACCTGAGTGGTCGAAGAGGGTACCGTCACCAGCTGTTGGCCCTGGTCCCACACTGCACCGGGATGTGCAGCTGACCTGAACCCCAGATTGTGAAAGTTTACTGGCTAGCATGTTAAACTAGTAATGCCAATTTTAAGTTGCTGTCATACTGGAGCACTGCATATGGTGATGTTCTGGGGGCTGCTGTGAGTTCTCTTCACTTCATGTTGCTGTAGAACTGGAAACACTGGGAAAAAAAGAGTTTGTGCCTGGCTGAACCTTCACATTGCACCTACTGTTGCAGCTTTCCTGAGGTTCATCTGTTAATGTGGAGCTTGCAGAGGTGAATACAGTTTATTGCCAATCTCGCTACTCTAAGCAGAGTCTTGGAGTCACCCTGTGATGTAAGGTTCTGCAGTAGTTTTTCACTAATCAAATATAGAGGTATAATATAAAAATATGCAGTTATTTTGATCCTTCTTTTATTCTAAGCAGCCTTTTGTAGTATCTATGTAGTTGGAGTGCAGCTCTTAGTGAGCTGAGTTGTAGCCTATGTGTACTCCGTTTCCTCAACTCCGTTAAAGCAGGAAT